TTGTCAGGTATATTGCCTGTGCATTGTGAGCAGGTGTCAGATAATGCAAATCCCATCTTGAACATTTGCTGACCTGTATAATGTACTCTATAAATAACTTTACATTGAATTAATTGTAAATTGTGGATTCTAGTCATTGTAAATGCTTTTAAGCAGATTTGAGACCAGGTGTTCTTGTCAAAGTTAACTGATAAGTTGGTCTCCCATTTCAAAATAGGGAGCGATATAGAGTTATCTTTTTTAGACAATTTTTTGTAGATTTTAGATAGCAATTTGTGGGATTTAAGAGGAAGGAATTCTAATACACTTAATGGTGTTTCTAATAAAACATTATTGAGCTTAAATTTAGATTTTATTATAGATTTAATACAGTATGTTGATATTCTAAAAATTTCTTCTTGTCAATGTAGACGCTGGACTGGACCAAGTTCAACGAGGTGGGTGTAGACACTGGACCAGACCAAGTCCGACCAGATGGGTGCTGGACCAGACCAAGTCCGACGAGGTGGGTGTAGATGCTGGACCGGACCAAGTACGAAGAAGTGGGTGTAGACGCTGGACCGGACCAAGTCCGATGAGGTGGGTTTAGACGCGGAACCGGACCAAGTCCGACAAGGTGAGTGTAGACGCTGCACTGGACTAATTCTGACGAGGTGGGTGCAGAAGCTGCACCGGACAAAGACCGACGAGGTGGGTGTAGTCGCTGCACCGGAACAAGTCCGACGAGGTGGGTGTTGACGCTGCACCAGATCAAGTCCGACAAGGTGGATGTAGACGCTGGACCAGACCAAGACCGACGACGTGCATGTAGACGCTGGACCGGACCAAGTCTGACAACGTGGGTGTAGATGCTGGACGGGACCAAGTCCGACGACGTGGGTGTAGATACTGGACCGGACAAAGTCCGACGACGTGGGTGTAGAAGCTGGACGGGACAAAGTCTGATGACGTGGGTGTAGATGCTGGACCGAACCAAGACCGACGACGTGGGTGTAGATGCTGGACGGGACAAAGTCCGACGTCGTGGATGTAGGTGCTGGACAAGACAAAGTCTGATGACGTGGGTGTAGACGCTGGACGGGACAAGTCCAATGAGGTGGGTGTAGATGCTGGACCGGACCAAGGTCCGACGAGGTGGGTTTAGACGTGAGACCGGACCAAGTCTGACGAGGTGGGTGTACACGCTTGACCGGACCAAGTCAGACAAGGAGGGTGTAGACACTGGATGGGAAAAAGTCCGACGAGGTGGATGTAGATGCTGGATGGGACCATATTGGGCACCCCGGCCTACATTATGTATTCCAGGGGTGCCCAACCGGTAGCTCGTCAGCTGGTTCCTGGTAGCTCACGGAGCACAACCTTTCTCTAACAGCAGAGAGCCGGCTCGTCAGCTGAGAGTAATGTTGCGCTCTGGCACGGGATTCATGTCAGCTCGCTGAGCTCTCCAGCAGAAACGGTGGGGGTGGGAGGAGGGAGAAGTTTACATTCCAGCCTTGAACACGCTCCCTCCGCCCTCMCCAGCACAGCTGACGAGCCTGCTCGTCAGCTCCGCTCACAGAAGTAGTCTCGCGAGTTTTGAGTGCGGTGAATCAGCACTCCAAACATGGTCCCGCAAGACTTTAGTGTCACGTGTTCACAACAAAGCAGCGAGGCGGGAAAAAAAATGAGCGAAAGTCAGCTAACAAGCAAATAAAAACTTATTATTTTCACCTGTAGTTGGAAGAAGACTCATATGTTATTTGAGCGCTGCCTTGGCTTGTCCAAAAAGGATAACGTGGAACTGCATTTCTTTCAAAACAATGCACCAATGCTACGAGATGGATTTCCCCTCCTAAGCTAAGGTAAGGCTGCTAATGCTGCCCCGTACCTGCCTCAACACAAAAAACAACACTGCGGAAAACATCTTTCAGCGATGACGAATTTATGAAAGAAGCGTTTGAGGCTGCAGATGTGCATTTCCATGATTTTAAAAATAAAAGTGGCTGCTATAAGACGTGCAGCTATCCACCAGGATGGATGGATGTGTCCAAATTCATGTTGCTGGAATGCTCCGGTGTTGAAAATGAGGTTTTGGCTCTGCAAAATGACATTGGGATCAAATCCAGAGCAACAAGTTGCATGGATTCTGGAGTCAGCTTTCTCTCACATGAAAATCATCAAGTCCAAGAACAGATTCACAAAGATTGGTGATCATCTGGAGACCTGTTTACACCTCATGCTGCCCACCTATGAGACCCTGGGCCGTGTCAGAAGTCAAACTAAGGTTGAGATACATTTATTTTTAGATAGCTTCTTGCATAAAAAGTTGTCTCCTCTAGATTTGTCATAATGGGTCTGTATGTTGTTTTTTTTATTACATTTTAGACCAGACTAGTGTCTTATACACTGACTGGCACCTTTGTGTTATTTATTTATTTATTTGTTTGTTTTACAGTTGTTTTCTCTACCTAACGTGGCTGTGTGTGTATGTGTCTTGTCAGGTGGCGAACAGGTGGCATTCTTTGAATGGTCTGGAGCCATTGGAGCCACTCTCAGCAGCTGATGATTCAAAAATCTTCTCAGGTTCTTCAACAGCCAAAAATAAAATCCAATGTTCTCTGCTTATACAAGAGCCCACATCACGTCGGGGTCACCAAAACTGTAAGAAAATTTGTACTCAATAAACTGAAGTCGAGATGATAAACAGAACTGTTAAATAAAGTGATTTGTAGAAGGAATGAAAACCATACAACACCAGTCTGGAATCTGAGTGGAGGTTTATTGCTGCCGCTGCAGACAGGAAACCCACACTGCCCATAAAACTGGAAGCTCATGTTTTTATACAGTTTCTTCAATGCCTTCGCTCGCCCYCTACTGGCCTACGGCTGAGTCACAGGCATTCAGACACAATTCTTATCTAAAGTCTTTCAAGCGTTTTTACTATGTTTTGTAAAAATGTTTCAGGCATGTAACTAGACCTGTTTCAATCAAGACATAATAGATAAAACACTGCCAATATTTCAAAAAGAAGAACTTAAGAATATAGTGTTGTGCTTCTAACATCAGTACTAGCCTACCTAACTCTAAATTTCTTCACACGAGCATCACTTTTCTGTTTCTCTGTCGGGAGTTAAGTAAGGATTTTATCTTTTCTTTTTTCTTTTTTGTAGGTAAATACGTATATGGTTAAGTAGATATTTTTGTTTGACAATACTTTAAATTAAATAAAACTAGCAACACATTACATTCTGTTTTATTTAAAGAAGTGAGGAGTAGGGAGACGAAAAATTATGTTTTTTGATACTGAAACTGGACATGTAGATCCCAGCAAACTGCCGACTTCAAAAGTAGCTCTTGATTCAAAAAAGGTTGGGCACCCCTGATGTAGGAGATCTCCATACAGATGGGATTTTTATGTCTTTTTCAGAGGTCATGCTCAGATATAATATGAAAAAAGATAATTTCTGGAAATGCCTACTGATTAGAGACTGTATTATTAAAGACAATTTCATACATAAGGATAACCCAATACAAAAATGTATGGGCTCATCTAGAATCAAATACAAAGCATCTGCATTTTATAAATTACTAATATGCAAAAAGATGTGTGTAAAAGTCTGAGGATGATCTGGCAGGGGGACCTTGGCTACATTTTTAGCAATGATGATTGGCTGAAAATATTATCAAAAAATGGGAAATATATTAAAGAATCTAGAGGAAAATTTATGCAATATAAGGTGGTACATAGATTTTATTTTACACCGTCTAGGCTCCATAGAATGGGTATACTTTCCAATGACCTATGCTGGAAATGCAAAATGGAGTCTGGAACCTTTATGCATGCAATCTGGGAATGTGAATACATCTCCCCATTCTGGAAAATAATATTACAACATATTGGAAAATGGAGAGGTGTGAAGATACCCATTTCACCAAAACTATGTTTATTGGGGGACCAAACAGCATTACCCAATATATCAAAGCACCAAATTACAGTGGTGCATGTGGGGATGG